CGCGGGAGAGGGTCGCCCCCGGGGCTTGGGGGGCGGCGGGGAGGGGCTCGCTGCGCGCGCACCTGCACCCCCAGCCCCGCCGCGGGGCCCCCGCGAGGACGCGGGGCTTTGTTCCCGGCGCCCCCCCCCCCCCCACCCGGGTCCCTGCGGAGCCGCAGCCCGCGCGCCCTCCCGCAGCCTCGTTCGCACTTGGCCGGCGCCGGGGAATCCTGTTTGCAGCCCCGGGCGCGCGGGCTTTTGTTTTGGGGCTTGGCTGAGCGGGTCCCCCCAGCCCCCTGGAGAGGAGGGACGCCCCCCCCCCCAGGTGAACGCTGCAAGGGATGGCACCGAGCTCCGGGGTCCCAGGGCCCCGCCCCGCGCGGTAACTTTGCGCGCCGCCAAGTTCGCTCCGACTCCGCCTCCGCCAGCGCTGTCCGGGGGGTTCGTGCGGGAGCCTCAGGGGGAGGTGGAGCTCGAGGCTGATGGAGGAGAGGCGGCCGCAGGGAGAGTCCTGATGGTTGCTTGGGAGGATTAAAGGGTCCCCGAAAACAATCTTCAGCTTAGCCGCCCAGGGAGGAAGGGTCCGAGCGAGCGCCAGAACTTCACGGCGGTTCAAAAGTGGGCGCCTGTGCGCGCGGGGCGAGCCTCGGGTGCTCGGTGCTCGCTAGGGGCCTGCAGCCAGAGCCGGCTGCCTGGGCTGCCCTGGCAGTGAAGGGGCAGGCCTGGTCGTCCTGGGTCGCGGCTTCTAGGAAGCCCAGGTGTTTCTCTCTGAGCCTGACACCCCGGCCGAGCCCCGGAGTGTGGAGTGCCTGCCCGTCAGTGAAGGGAGAGACCCGCTTCCTCCTGGTCCTCCCTGGATGGGTTCTGGTGGACCCCAAGGGTTGCCACTTGGTGGGAGGAGAAGGGGTTGGACTCTTCAAGCGGCAGGCGGTCCAAGTGTCCAGGCCGGTGACCTACCCAGGGCCAGGGATTATAAAGCAGCAAGACACGGAAGGAAACCAGTGCCAACAGGTGGAGGGACTAGGCCCTTCTGACTCCTGTGTGTCCCTTGGCCTTCAAACTTTTTCTTTGGCTGTGTGTCCAACCCAGTGTTGGAAGGTCATTTTACATCACAGTGCTCTCGCGTGTGTCACTGGCAGAAGTGTCACGAGATAGTACTAACCCCGTCCACACGTGGTGTGCACTGGTATTTTCTCTTTCTCTGACACGTTGGTTGACTCGCGCGGTTGGGACTCCCAGATGGAGTCTGTGGATCCAATTGGATACCGCTCTTTGGGCCAAACTGGTCGATCCTTATCGCTAGACAAAAGCAGAAACTTTGTAACTTAGGCCCTATACCCCATCACCTACAGGCATAAGAGATGCTGGCATGAGCCATTCTGGGAAAGGCTGAAGGACAGAAGAAACAGCAAGGGGACGTTAACAGGGTCTGGTTCTGCAGGGCTAGCTCGGACAGTAGAGGGTAGGGAGAGGAAGGGGGAAAGGAGATCCTACACGAACCACAGATGGAGTTGATAAACCTGGAGAGCACGTCAGTCCCAGCTGCGACCATCATTTGGCCGGGTGTGTGTGTGTGTAGACGGAACAGTTTTCAAATTAAGCTTAGTGTGGACAGAAGGGATTGTAAGTGATACCCGGACACCGTGCAGGTCTTTACTCTCAATGGTGTTTCATGTAATCGTGGTCCTAACTGGAGCGTCGTTTCCACCCAGTTTTCTCCGTGAGCAAAACAGACCAAGGCTGAGTGAGTGATTTGGAAATACTAAGCAGCCAATGACACTTGACTCTAAGTCCCGTCTTTCTAGTGTACTGCGTTGCCTGAACCTCTGTCCCCCAACTTTTTATCATTACTGTACCCAGGGAGTGGAGAGGACGGGGAGGAGAATGTGTTTCACTTTGGTTGGTGGTTTTGGTTATGGGTGTTTTTGTTTTTTGTTTTTTTTTTTTTTTAAACTGTTCCCTGCCCATTAACTTACCTCTCTCTTGTCATTTATCACAGTCCAAGATGGCACTTTGTGTCATGTTAAAAACAAACAAACAAAAAAACCTCTGATAGTATCTCTAGAAAGTGATAATGCTATGGTCCATCTCCTAACGTGGAAGTTGGAATGAATGCTCCTGAGATTTTGGATCTTCCAAGGGTAGCAGAGCTCCTGTGGTGTCCCCTTGTGTGACAGGCGAGGAAGTCATCATCTGGCAACGTGAGAGGCCGGTCCTCAGTTGCCTGGTGAGCTGGAGACCTCTCGGGACTGGGCCAGGTCTCCTGGTTTGAGTTCAGTATCCTCCTGACTCTGCTATGGAGGCAGATCATGTGTTACTATTTAATCCAGCTTTGCCAAGAGGGGCCGGGTAGCTCAGTTGGTTAGAGCCTAGTGCCCGTGACCTTGTCCACCAAGACTTTGGCCCTTCCTTAGTCTCGGATACCACAAACAGTAGAGCGCAGACTGGCTCCTTTACAAAAATCAGAACATATCACAGATCTTCTCAGGTGGCAGATAGTCTAGACTTTTCTTTCTCTTGTTTACCTCTTTCTTCCTCTCCACTTTCCTGTTTCTTCCACCTGCATCATTTCCTTCCCTAGGAGCTCCCTCCCCTTCTTCCTCCTCCCCAGACCTACCCAGTCGTTTACTGCCAGGCCCACAGCGGTTTCATTCAGCTTCCCACCCCATCTGAGGAACTGTGGGCACCTGTGCACACAGGAGGGCGAGAGAGACGTAGGAAAAGAGGGTCCCCAGCTGCGGTGCATCAGGGGGCATGAGGAGTCCGTATGGAGAGAGGGGATGTAAGAGAGGGTAGGGGCAGCCCGGGTGGCCCAGCCCGCCTTCAGCCCAGGGCATGATCCTGGAGACCGGGGATCGAGTCCCCGTCAGGCTCCCTGCATAGAGCCTGTTTCTCCCTCTGCCTGTGTCTCTGGGTCTCTCACAAATAAATAAAATCTTAAAAAAAAAAAAAAGGTAGAAGGGAGGAGTGGGTCCTTGTCAGGGTGTGGGCAGGTGTGCGCACAGGTGGATACACCTCTGGCAGGAGAAGGCTCTGCGATTCGCAGACTGGTGTCTGGCAGGGAACGTGTCCTTTTCTGCTTCTGGAGACAAGTTTTCGGTTGGGCATCTATAGGAAGAATCGGAGAAGAGGGGAGAGGTGTGAAGAATGGGATTTGCTTTGGATTCACGGCTTGAAGAGTGTGCTGGTCAGATCCACAAATGACGTGCGGACTAGGGACTTGGGGTTCAAGTGGAGCAGAGGCTCTGTCCTCGTGCAGTCTCTCCCTGGAGCAGGGAGCCCCTAGAGTGGCGGTGCTGGCCATCTGGGCTACAAAGCTGCTATTGAAACCAGGCCCAGATGCTAACTCTGAAGGCCAGGTGGGAGAGGTTGGCAGCCAGAATCTTGTTTTTTCATTGTGTTCAGCCCATGAGTCAAGCCCCGGTTTTTAATTTTTAATTTTGTTGAATTTCTAGTAAAATTTTCCTACTTTTTTCTGCCTGCTTGTGTGTGGGCCTGCGGCGAGGAGGCTTTGGACCCGGTGTCTGACGCCAGTGAATCACTGGACTGTTTCTTTTATAAGAGATTCACTTTAAAATGCTGTGTCCACCCCCTCACCGAGTTATTTCGTGGGGACTTGGGGGGAATTCCTATCCATTGTGTGTTTGTCCTGGAGGGTTGAGGGGAGGAGGGCTGAGTTTTTTTTTTTTTTAAGATTTTGTTTATTTATTTATAATGAGACACACAGAGAGAGGCAGAGACCTAGGTGGAGGGCCTAGGTGGAGGGAGAAGCAGGCTCCCTGCAGGGAGCCCGATGCGGGACTCGATCCCAGGACCCCATGATCATGACCTGAGCTGAAGGCAGACTCTCAACCACTGAGCCACCCAGGCGTCCCAGAGCTGAGGTTTTGAAAAATAAGCTCTTTTTCTATTGTTCTTCCTATTGTTCTTGATGAGATGAATTACTGCCTCTTCCTCCCTCAACTAGCCACGGCCCAAATTGCCCCTGAACACCTGTTTCATTTCCTCTGCATGCTCCTCAGTTTGTATCAGGTGAGCGTGTTTGAGATCACACTAACCTTAACCTCCACGCAGTCTCCATAAAGTCCACACGACACCAGCATTTTCTTTTACGCGGTGGAGACGAGGCGGGCACAGCGGGATTCGGGCTGGGGGCGGTGTCCTGGTCGCAGCTCGGAGCACTGACTCTGACTCGTGCAAGTAGTAAATGGCTCCAGCCCTGGCTTGGGGGAATGAGAATGGAAGATCTGGAACATCATTTTGAGATGCAAAGAGCAGTCCTAAGGATGGGCAGCTCCAAGGGCAAAGAGAGGGTGGCCTCATCGGTCAGCCAGGAGGTCCTCAGAATGATGGCCTGGGGGCCACATCCTCCCTCGGAAGGTCCCTTGGAAGGTCCCTCAGCAGCGGCGGTTGAGGGGGGGGGGCACGAGTGCGGTTAATTTCATTAATCCCACGTGGGCAGAGTCTTCCCTGGGTGCTGGGGATTCACCTGCTTGCGGCTTCCAGGGAGAAGCCAGTTTGGGGCCACCTGCTGTGGGTTCCCTTCCTTCTCCTAAAAGGCCAGCGAGTGAGGCAGGGGTGGGAGGCACGCCCACAGTTACGGGGTGGTTACGGGGTGCCCGCTGTGGGGGAGCTGGCCTCTGATCCTTCATGCCCCGCTCATCACTGTACCGGTGAGCACAGCGGATGCCCTGCAGTCACCTGCACCGGCCCAGGGGCGAGCCAGGTCCCGGGGCCTGCCCTCCCTCCGCACACGGCTGCCCAGGGTGACATGACACAGGGCCCGGGAAATGGAAGGGTTCCTCCTCCTAGAATTAATGCGCTGGAATTCAGCCTTGGACTGGCCTGGGGCGGACTTGAAATCCCCAGGATTCATTGCTTCCTGCCTCAGGTGTCTTCATACTGACGCTTCCTTGGCTGTGCACATGCTCTCATCCCAGGTGGTTTATTTTTAATTTTTTTTAAAGATTTTATTTATTTATTCATGAGACAGAGAGAGGCAGAGACACAGGCAGAGGGAGGAGCAGGCTCCATGCAGGGAGCCCGATGCGGGACTCAATCCCGGGTCTCCAGGGTCACGGCCTGGGCCGAAGGCAGATGCTCAACCACTGAGCCACCCGGGCTGCCCTCATCCCCGGTGGTTTAAAAACTTTTCCAGAACCATTTACAACCAAGAGTCAGTAGAGGCTGTTTCCTTCTCTGGTGTTCGGAGTCTGAACCAAATAATCTTTTGAGGTTTCTCCCTCCTGTGGCATCTGGTGGCTCCCTAAGCAGATGAGGGAATGTGGTGCTGGGACTATAAGTGTTCCCGGATTCTCGCCTTCCTTCTGGAGACAGGATTCCTTCTTACTTCCCGACTGGAATTAGCAGATGTATATGCTGCTAGAAAGAAGCTGATGCCTGGTAAGAAAAAAAAAAAAAAAAGAATCAAGGAATCTGTTGGGGGAGAGCAAAGGGGCGCAAAGTTCCACTCTTGAGGTCAGAAGGAGCTGTAACAGGATTGTCCTGATGCGAAGCCCTCGAGGAGATTTTTTTTTTAATTTAAATTCAACTTAATTAACATAGTATGTTATTAGTTTCAGAGGTAGAATTTAGTGATTCATCAGTGGCATGTGACACCCGCTGCTGATTCCATCACGTGCCCTCCTTCCTGCCCATCACCCTGTCACCGCAGCTCCCCCCACCCCCCCAGCAGCCCCCAGCTTGTTTCCCAGAGTTAGGAGCCTCTCACGGTTTGCCTCCCTCCCTGTTTTCATCTTCTTTTTCCTTCCCTTCCCCTGTGTTCAAGAGGAAATTCTTGATTGGGAACCACCCAACGGGAGTGGGGAGGAGGAGGAGGAAGGAAAGTCACGTATTTCCCCTTAGAGATTATTTTGGTTGGGATCCTTGTTCTGTCTACTTGGACTATTTCGAGATGAACTTTCTAAGAGGCAGCAGCAGTTAGCACTGGTGTCTGTTCTCCCGGAGAAGTGCGGGTTGCCGAGGCCACCTCACGGGGAAGCAGCAAAGGAGGCAGAGGCCGTCCTGGTTGTCGTTCACAGGATGGAGGGTGACTCACCTGGGGCCGGAGCTCCCCAAACACCAGCCCTGGGAGGCCCTGGCATGTACGCAGCTGCCAGGCTGACCTTCAGAACGGCAGGTGGCAGGTGCACACCGTCTGTCCATCCACAGCCAGGCTCGGCCTTGCCCTCTGGCTTCCCCTGGGTGGCTGAGCCACCGGCCCAGGAAGCTGGGAGCCCCCGTTCCTTTCAACAGGGACATGTTTGCCTTTGCAGGAGCCCAGCCCCTGGCACTTGCTGCCAAGTCATGTTCTGCCAATATTTATTGACCGGCTGGTTGGATGTCCCTAACGCAGATGGCCACCTGTGGCCCTTCCCTCTAAGTTGTCTTTGAAGCTGGAGGCGAGGTGGGCCCATGGGTGGCCGAGGCCGGAGGCAGGAGAGAGAGGGGGAGAGGCCCTTGTCCGTCCAAAATCAAAGGGTCAAGAAAATGACCACGTACATGATAAAAATAAAAAATTTGACCATGAATCAAGCCCTGGAACAGATGAAGACAAAAGTGGATGAGTGAGTTGTGTAAACTCATTTCCATTCTGTCTCAAATTTTAACTTTTAGAGACTTGCTGATGAATCTCCTTTATGTTGTTTTCCTCTTTTCATTGTTTCTGGGTTTTATGTTTCTTTTTTTAAAAAAAATATTTTATTGATTTATTCATGAGAGAGAGAGAGAGAGAGAGAGAGAGGCAGAAACACAGGCAGAGGGAGAAGCAGGCTCCACGCAGGGAGCCCGACGTGGGACTCGATCCCGAGTCTCCAGAATCAAGCCCTGGGCTGAAGGTGGCGCTGAGCCACGTGGGCTGACCCCACCCCCACCCCCGCTTTTTTTAATGTGGACTTAATTGAGTTGATCTTTTGATAATCTGCAACCTGGGTAATTTGTACTGCTAAAGTTTTAATAAACTTGAAATGAGAAAAAAACCAAAAAAACAAAAAACCCTCTTTCTCTGGTTACCCCGCAGACGAGCCTTCTGTTGAATCCGTCGGGGCCCCAGCTTCCTGGCGCAGTTCCTACGGGGCAGTGAGGGTATTTGGGAGGCTAGAGGGCTTGCAGTGGGGAGACCGGGCCTGGGGTGGCTAGCATTCAGTGAGGGTTTTCTCTGGCATTTAATTACTCGCCGCAATGATTTCATTTTTGCAGAATCGCTTTCCTTGAAGCCTCTACAGGTTTTATATGTAAACTGGTTTCTAATTTTTTTCATTTTTATTTTATTTGAAGATTTTATGTATTCATAGGAGACCCAGAGAGGCAGAGACACAGGCAGAGGGAGAAGCAGGCTCCTCGCGGGGAGCCTGATGTGGGATTCGATCCCGTGACCCCAGGATCACGACCTGAGCTGAAGGCTGATGCTCAGCCACTGAGCAGCCCAGGCATTTCCAGTTTTTGTGAATAGTGTAATATTTCTGTTAAGCATGACCTTTAGCCAACGATGCCTCTTTATTACCCTATTTATTGCACACTGCCTCAATTACATTTTGCTTTTGCAGAGTCCTTTCTGCTTACCTTATGTTTTTCCACATCGCCTTTATTTACATTATGTTCCCCAGTTTGTATGTTGACATTTTTTTAAGACCTCAGAAAAGTTGGAGGAATAGTATAGTGCAAACTTAGTCTGCCCCCATTTCTTGGACATTTTGCCATATTTGCTTTATCTTTAACCGTATCCTTAACCTGCATTCCTAAAAATCACTGGGCTGTGAAAGACTTGGAGTAAAAAGTCACAAGGTTTATGGAGAAGATGGGGTCAGGGCATAGCACTCAGAAGCTGTCAGTGACTTGTTTAAGCAAAGATGGGAACCGAATATACGAATGGTAGGACGATTTTACATACGGTAATGAATTAAGAGAGACATAAATACTCAAAGTGTGGCATCTCACCTTAAGAAAGAGCTGACTTTGCATCGGAAGGTGGATGTCGGAAGTGTGGAGCTTGTGATTTATGGTGAAGTGGAAGGAGGGCTATGTGACATTGGATGGACAGTGGTGGCCCTAGCAGTGACAGGCACAGCTTTTTTTTTTTCTTTTTTTTTTTAAAGATTTTTATTTTATTTATTCATGAGAGACACAGAGCGAGAGAGAGGCAGAGACGCAGGCAAAGGGAGAAGCAGACCCCATGCAGGGAGCCCGACGTGGGACTCCATCCTGGGTGTCCAGGATCATACCCCAGGCCAAAGGCGGCGCCAGACCGCTGGGCCAGCTTCTAACCCAGTGAACGAAGGTAACGCACGGGTGTTTGAGTTCTAGCGGGGACTGCATTCCGTGCATTTCTGTTGGCTCATTCCTGCTCTGGTGCAGTTTTCAGCATTCAAGTTGCTACCCTTGTGACCAAAATTGTCTATCAGCAAACAGGAAATCCCCTACGATCAGATTGTTCCTTAATCGTATCAAATGCTTTGGAACAAAATCAGCCCACATTCTAGCTGAACTGACTATCGACTGGTGTGCTGCTCTTTTTCTGCCGAACTATTGGACAATAAGTTCCAGACGTCATATCATTACATTTCTGAATACCTCATTTTAAATCTAAGAATAAGGGGATCCCTCGGTGGCTCCGCGGTTTGGCGCCTGCCTTTGGCCCAGGGCGTGATCCTGGAGTCCTGGGATCGAATCCTGCATGGGGCTCCCTGCATGGAGCCTGCTTGTCCCTCTGCCTGTGTCTCTGCCTCTCCCTCTCTCTCTCTCTCTCTATGTCTATCACAAAAAAAAAAAAAAAAAAAAAACAAAACCTTTAAATCTAAGAATAAGGCCATTTTCCTACATAACCACCATATCATTATCAATCCTAGGGTAACTAACCAAGGTCAATTCATCCATTTATTCTTAATTAATAAATTTAGCTTTTTTTTTTAGACCAGTTTCAGGTTTACAGAAAAACTGAGCAGAAAGCCCAGAGCGTTCCCATCTACCACCTTCCCACCCAGTTTCCCTGTAGTATTAACATCTAGCATTCGCGTGGCTTATTTGTTACAACTGACGAACCGATACTGATAAATTGGCTGAAGCCCATGGTCTGCATCAGGGTTACTCTCTGTGTTGTACCTTCTGTGGGTTTGAAAAATGCACAGTGTTATGTGTCCACAGTAATGGTATCCTACAGAAACAGTTTTACTGCCCCGAAAATTCACGGTGCTCTACTTACTCATCTGTCCTTAGCCACTGATCTATTTGCTATCTAATTTGTTGTTTTCGGGATCCCTGGATGGCGCAGCGGTTTAGCGCCTGCCTTTGGCCCAGGGCGTGATCCCGGAGACCAGGGATCGAATCCCACATCGGGCTCCCGGTGCATGGAGCCTGCTTCTCCCTCTGCCTGTGTCTCTGCCTCTCTCTCTCTCTCTCTCTCTGTGACTATCATAAATAAATAAAAATTAAAAAAAATAGTTCTTTAAAAAAAAAATAATTTGTTGTTTTCCAGAGTGTCGCAGAACTGGAGTTACACAGTACGTAGCCTTTTCAGACCGGCCTCTTTCACTTAGCAGTATGTGTTTAAGTTTCTTTCCTTCGTGTTTTTGTGGCTTGATAGCTCATTTCTGAGTAGGATTTTATTGTCTGGATGTTGCACAGTCTGTTTTTCCATTTACCTGTTGGAGGATACCTTGGTTGCTTCCAGTTTGGGGCAATTACAAATAAAGCTGCTCTAAACATTCATGTGCAGGCTTTTGTGTGGACGTGAGCTTTCGCTCATTGGATAAATATGAAGGAACAGGAGTGCCTGATTGTGTGGTAAGAATATGTTTAGTTGAGGGATCCCTGGGTGGCGCAGCGGTTTAGCGCCTGCCTTTGGCCCAGGGTGCGATCCTGGAGACCCAGGATCGAATCCCACGTTAGGCTCCCGGTGCATGGAGCCTGCTTCTCCCTCTGCCTGTGTCTCTGCCTCTCTCTCTGTCTCTCTGTGACTATCGTAAATAAATAAAAATTAAAAAAAATATGTTTAGTTGAGATCCCTGGGTGGCTCAGTGGTTGAGCATCTGCCTTTGGCCTAGGGCGTGATCCTGGAGACCCGGGATCGAGTCCCACATCGGGCTCCCTGCATGGAGCCTGCTTCTCCCTCTGCCTGTGTCTCTGCCTCTCTCTCCCTCCTCTCTGTCTCTCATGAATAAATAAATAAAATCTTACAAAACTAAACATATTCTTTTTTTTTTTTTTATTTATGATAGTCACAGAGAGAGAGAGAGAGAGAGAGAGGCGCAGAGACACAGGCAGAGGGAGAAGCAGGCTCCATGCACCGGGAGCCTGACGTGGGACTCGATCCTGGGTCTTCAGGATCGTGCCCTGGGCCAAAGGCAGGCGCCAAACCGCTGCGCCACCCAGGGATCCCTTTTTTTTTCTTTTTTTTAAGAACCTGCCAA